GAGGTAAACACGTAAACCGGAAGTGGAAGTTTTGTATGAAGCAGTTTTCATATCAAAAATACTATTCACTGTGCAGATTCAATTATGTCTTATTGTCATTCAATTATGTCGGTTTGTCTTTCAATTATGTCCGTTTGTCATTCAATTATGTCTTCTTGTCATTCATTTATGTCCGGTTGTCATTCAATTATGTCTTGTTGTAATTCAATTACTATATCTCATCATGACTGCTTGACATTCAATTGTGTTCGAAACTATCTTTCAATTACTGCTTTTTGCCATTAAATTCTCCCTGGTCATTTAGTAATTGATCTGTTTGTCATACAATTTCTTACTTTACGAACTTCATTGAATTATGGCTTGTTGCCATTCAATTATTCAATATCGATTCAATATCGATTGACCGCTTGTAGCCCACTTGTACCTGAGCCCGCAAAAGCACCGCTGATCACTGACTGACGCGCTCCTACGCGCCTTTCTTGCAAAAAAATGGCGTCGAAGGAAATTGAAGATGACGGAAAACAACATTATCAACGTGCATTAACATTGCTTAATGAAGCGGTTGATATCTTGAGGGCACCATGCACGGCGACAGATCATCCGCAACATCCAGCGCATCATCCAGATCCAGCGCAACATCCAGCGCATCATGCAGATCCAGCGCAACATCCAGATCATCCAGCGCATCGATCTGCAGCTTCAGTTCAAGTTCCTGCCCCTTTTACTGAAAGGGGAGAATTACAAGAAATGGCGCGTCTTTTTCCGTTTTACAGTCAGGGCGCATCTGCCGGTAAAGTTAGTTCCCGTCAACCCTTTAAGCGATTTCGACCAAGTGCTTCCTCAAGTGGGCCCAAAAAAAGTTTTAGACCAAAGGAAACCTGGACTCACACGTTTATCTGCCTGTGTGAATCAGACCAGTTGGCGGTGCCTTCAAGAGAGGAGAAAGTAATTTTAAAAGAAGCAGGTCTCGGCGAAAAAAAAATTACTTTCGAAAAGTACGGAGGCTACCAACAGTTGCAGTCTTCTTTGTTGAAAGAATTTCCAAAACTAAGCGAAGGAGGAGGGTTTCAATTGTTAAGATCTTCTGGAGCGAGACGAAGCCTAGATTTAATTCCCATTCCAACCATGGGCTACGACATTCCGTATCTTAAAGATTGTCTTGGACAGGCCATTGGTTATGTGCGGCCCCTGCAAAAAGACTTAGATCGTAGTCCACTTCCCGTACAGGTAGGTTAGTTTTTGTTGGTTAGTTTTTGTACATTGGAACTTAAGAGTTGCAGAATCTAACAACAGCACTAGAAGGCCTGTAATCTCCTTTCAAGAGAACTTCGACAAATAATAGCCCCTTGACTTATTTGAACACATGGAAATATTATGGAATTCTGCCCTATTTTATGCCAGTCAGAACCAGATACAGGATGTAACTTGAGACATGAAAATTTTGCATGTCAACCCCCTCCCCTAGCTTCAAGGAAACTCTGTTTAATTGTGAAGTGGTGAGTCTGGATCACTTGGTCAATTGTCTTTCAAATCAGGGGAATAAAGTTGAATCTTTTTTTTTTTGGTGTTAATTTTTATATTTGTTGTACATTCAGAAAAGCACTGCTGTTAGTAACTTGCAAAATGCCCCCAAGGTAATTTGCATAAATTGTAAAGATGATGTGCCCCTGACGTTATGGCAAGACCATCAGATGATCTGTGAGGGAGGGTCATCCAAGGAGACAGGGGACAGATGTGAGGTGTGTAATGGATGGAATGTGAGATTAAATTTGCTTTATGAACATGTAAAATGGATACTCTTCTATCTAGTGTCGCTTAGGTTTATGAGTACAGTATTCTCTATATTTACCATATTTTTTGTACCTGTAGTGTATTCTTGTCTTAATCAAAACCTAAAGAGATTTAGTGTATGTAAAATGCATATCGTGATATCTAAGATTGTTATATCAGGGTTGTGTCCCACACAAGTTTTTTAATTTGTAGCCTGTAGTGAATGGAAACTTTTTTCCTCTACTCATTGGTTTTTTTAATTGATATATTTCCACTTGAATTTAAGTTTTGAATAAGTGAAGTACTTGTAAGATACAACGATCCATTGTTGAATTGTTACTTGAGTCAAAGTCATTCAGTTATAGCTAATAGAGAAACCGATATACATGCATAGTGATAGGGCTGTGCTTTTTTTTATTCCACAGGAGTCGAGGGATGATAGGGATAATTATGTACATACCCCAATGGTCCAAAAGTCAAGCACAGAGGAGAGGTTTGCTAAAAAAACTCTTCCTTTAGTTACTCATGCTTTATTATTATATTTAATTAATGTTTTTCAGTATATCCCATAAATTAAGGGTTAATGTTTTTTAAGTTGTTTTCCAATGCCAATACTGCCGTTTACAGATTTAGATTTAGCCAGATTGGCTTTTTCCTGGCAACATAATAACATTCACAAGTTTTTATTTATAGTTTACAGAATACCTAATATGAATTTACATTCGTATAAACATACCTTATTTCAACTCCCTTAAAAGGCTTGTCAGTTACAAGACAAGTTAGAATGAATAATGAATACAAGCTATTTAAAATATAATAAATTATTGATTGGAAAGAAGTACTGTAAAGACTGGCAGATAAGCCCCACCTTTTTTGCAAAAATTTTCGATCAAAATCATAGGTGACCAGGTGTCCAGTTATTATGCCTGAGCACTAAGCTTCAAACAGTCCACGCAACAAAACAGCAAAATTCTATGGAAAAACTGTCTTGAATGGAGAAATAATACCTGTTAACAAATACTAGAATAATGAATAATATCAATCATATGTCATAAGTGGTGGACATGATGTTTGTTCTACTAAAGAGCCAAAATTATGGTTTCATTGTTGGCGAGTTTACCTTGGATGAAGACAGAAGACTTCTTAGACTAGACTTTTGGATTTCTTTTGAGTTTTTGTCTTAAAAATTTTTTTCCCAAATTTGAGTTGCTAAACTTGGCATGCGGCTTATCTGCGAGTTTTTAGGGTAGTTTGATAAGTCACCTTTTAAAGACGTTATGATTCAGTTGATTCCATTAGGCATAACTTTTCACACATCTGTAATGTTGTCTTAATATTAAAATTTTATTGTAGTAAAGATTTATCTTTTGGAAACTTGTTCTGCTTACAAATAATATTGATAAAAATAACAGTACCTCTGTGGAAAGAAATGAGAATCAAAGACACATTAATATACAAATGTACCTCCACTTGCTAATAAAAGGCAAAGAAACATTCTTTTGAAATCAAAATACTAAGTTCTGACATTTTTTTGGATTTAATTTAAGGCTAAGTGCAACAAGTCAGTTTTTGTGATCTTACATTACTTAGTTATATTCTACTATTAATGGGTTTTTAATTAGAAACACCACGCAGCCAACTGGTGAATTCTCTTCAGCAGCAGTACCTATAAAGGTGAGTTGCTTATAATAACTTGAGATGAGATTTGAAATGGAGTAGAAAAAGTATTCACCAAAAACACAATATTCTTTCACTCTCAACAGTGGTTTTCACGTAAAATGTTACTCTCAATGTCATCTTTTTATCCACAGAACTTTGATGAAATGCTTGGTGAAATATTGGATGTGATCCCCGATGCCAATGAACAAGATGTCAGGAAGAAACTCCTTGCTACGAGTTCTGTTGAAGAGACTTTAGACTGGATGCTTGAACAACAAAGTAATTACGTCTATACATTTTTTGCAACTTAGTACATAAATTTACTGTTTATTTTTTAACTAATATTTAGATTTGGGGTTAAATTTGGTCTAAAAACTGGGGTAAAAGTTTAGCCGTGTCTTTATCAGATATAAAGACACTTGTTAAACATTATTTTTATGAATTATTAGTGACTTTTTTAAATATAAATACATCAATTCTTTTATTACGGCAAAGGAGCCCAAAAGTGTAATTGACCACTCAAGAAAATACCATAACACACCATTAAATGCTCTTTGTTTGTCACCCAAAATTTTGCATAAGCATTGTCTTCAGTTTCTCTTGGGAGTTAAAATGGCCCCAAGAGAAACTGAAAACAATGCTTATGCAAAATTTTGGGGTCTTAAACAAAGAGCATTATGGTATGGTATGGTATTTCTGGAGTGGTCAATTACTTTCATTAACTCACATTTTTTTTGTACAGAAATTACCCATTTAGAAGTGTAGGACAGTTTCCAGCTTGCTTCTGATCGGAATATATATCTGTACAAAAGAATATGAATAATTCAAAAGTGGTCACACTTTAAGGCTCCTTGCTGTAACACCTATGTTTTTAGACCACATTCAGTGATATTCAGGGTGACTGACCAACCTCAAATTGTGGTGTGTATCCTGAAAATTTGTGTCACTCTATATCGTTATCTAAGCAGTGTTAAGAAATCAGATAAATTTTAATGGCAGAAATATTTGAAAAAGAAAAAATGGATGGGAATTGGAGTATTAGCTTCAAAATTTCTTTGTAAACAAGTCAACTTCAAGTAGTTTGGTTTAATAGGCTAGTATGTATAGCCTTTTCATGTGCCTCATTTAACAGTTACACATGTGTTCTTTCCTAGACACAATTTACCAGAACAGTGTAATGTTAAAGGACTTAGACCCAAGTGAAGCCTTGGAAACTTTCCGGCAAGCCACAATAATGAAACTGCCCTACCAAACAATAAGGATAAATCGAGATTCCCTCATTTTATTAGAGAGGTCTTTAAGTTGTTCAAGAAAGGCATTGATGTGAAGAAAGCACCAGATGTGGAATTTGAAGGAGAGGATGGAATGGATGCATCTGGACTGACCCGTGAATATCTGTACTTATTGATGTCAAAGATTAGAGGAGGTGATGGTACAACCGTTTTGTTTGAGGGACAGCCAGGCCATCTTTCTCCTTTGTATGACGTTGATTGCCTAGATTCTGGCTTCTATTTCTTTGTTGGTCAGGCATTAGCACAATCCTTTCTCCATGGGGATACCCATTTGTTGGTATGTCTCAAGCAGTTGCCCACTACATTATCACAGATGACATTGATGAAAGTATTCCATTTCTGGCAGTTGAGGATATCCCTGATCCTGAAGTTAGAGATGTTCTCAAAAGGTAATGTTAAAAGCATTAGTGATCCGGTAGTACATCTGAAGTGCTAGCTTGAAATTCATTTTACACTGCATTTTATCCAGTGAACTCTTTATTCCATTTATGAACTAGAAAATGCACATGAGCATATACAATAATAATTATCATTATTGTATACTCTCGTGTGTATTTTCTACTGGGCTATTTACAATGATTTCTGTTGCCAGACCATAATTTATGATAAGTGTGACCTTTTTGTTAGATTGCAAGTGCATCAAAAGATGAGGACTTTCAGAACCTGAATGCAGATGAAGGGGTTAGTAACCTGTTGATTCAATGTGGTTTTGTGAACAAGCTGTTGAACAAACAGAATTCACAGCAGGCATGCCAGAGAGTACTGGTCCACCAAGTACTGATGTATAAGAAAGATCCTATACAGGAAATCAGGAGAGGTCTGCAGACAGCATCTATTACTTCCTTTCTGAAAGATCACCCTGCACTTTGGAAGACCATTTTTGCCACAGCTGCAGATGTAAAACTTCAATCTGATTTGGTGGTGAGAAGCCTCAAGTGTGACCCTTCAGTGGGAGAATTGAATGAACAACAAGAAACAATCCTAAACTGGTGTAAGGAGTATGTTGGTAATCTTCCATCTGACACAGGTACTACAAAGGTGTTATAAACATGTCAGGAAAAAGTGGTGGATTATGATATCTGCTAATAACAGTATAATTTTCACGTTTACAATCTCATTTTTTCTTGTTTGGAAATTCTGTCATTTCTTTCAAAACGCTTGCAACTCTGAGCTTTCCTGCGGATAATTTTGTTGATATAGTCAGTTCTATTATTGGGATGGTCACTTATTGTGTCAATTTACAGCCAAGGAAAGACATACAGAAAGGCAGGGACCAATAATTTTACTCTAAGTGTGTGTTTTCTTTACAGGCAGTTTTTTGTCCCATGGAGGTGACTGTAATAATAGGGAGTTGACTGTACATCCCAGGTGCAATCAACTTGATACTGAAAGGAAAGACTTAACTAAACCGAACATAAAGACCTGCAAAAAAATTAATTTAAATATTGAAAACTTAAATTATTCAGATATTCAAGTTATGAGAAAACATAGTATTCGATTGGGCTTGTTCTATCTTCCAAGCAATACAGATTTCCCTTTACAGTCAACTCCTGATAATTCGAACCTTCAAGGGAAACAGAAAAAGTTTGAGTTATCAAGGGTAAAATTATATAGAAAATGTTCTGAAGGGAAATGAAAATTGCTTCGAAAGTTAACGGAGGTTCGAGTTAGAGAGGGTTCGAAAGTTACCGGGAGTCAACTGTACCTCAAGCAATGATTTTCATACTGAAATTCAAATGCAAAAGTGGGTTTACTGTGCCAGTGAATGAGATTACCGAGTTTACAATAAAGCCATATTAAAAATAAAAAACAAATAGCAAACAAAACACAGTTGCAATAACTAGAGGTAGGCCATAAAGAACATTTTGTTTAAACATGTATTCTTCCTTCCCAGAATCAGATTCATCAACCATTGAGAAGTTTGTACAGTTTGTGTTTGGAGAACCAACCATGCCGCCACAACCAGTTTATGTTAAGTTTAACCGACCTGGAAAGAGCTTGCCTGATGCTGATGCATGCACAGGAACCATCAGCCTTCCAATTGATCACAAGATGAAAAAGGATTTTACAAAAAGTTTGGATATAGTTTTAAACTTTCAACACAAAGGATTTGGTAGATGCTGATTTCCTATGGTCGTTATTTTATCTATTCAGCATCATTGTCTATGTCAACATCTTGGACTGTATGCCGTCGTTAGTTGCGTGTTTTATCGTCAGTTGCGTGTTTTATCGGCTTGGTCTGTTCAGATTTTACAGATTTTAAAACGCAACAGCGTTTTTGAGCGACGGACGTCAACCGGAAGTGGCCTTTTTGCACCATTGGGCAGTGGTTCTGTTGAAACTCTTGGGTAAATCGTCTTTATAAGCGAAAAAACTTAGCAATACAAATTTGTTAGCATCCGGGCATATGAGAAGAGAGAAGGCCTCACTTCCGGTCGACATGCGTCGCTCAAAAAACGTCTTTTGCTTAAGTTCCCTATTGTTGTTATACACGGATTCCTAAGAATGTATAGAATGCAAAGGGTTTTCCTTTTCCAACCAAAATATGTCTTAAACACTAAAGTAGCTTAAGATAATCTGTTGCAGCACAAAACAAAGGGTTTTATTGTGGCAATGTTAGAATAGTACCACCAGAAAAGTAGGACATAAATTTCATTTTCCTGCAAGTAATTTGTGTTGTTTCATTCTTCCCACATAGCTTTCCCAATTAACTTTTGACATGGGGGTTTGATTTGATTGACCATGGTGTATGTACATGTACCAGCTGAAAATGACCTAGCTGTTTATGAAAACAGCATCTTTTAAGTAGTACTGTTTGGTTATATGGTCCACCCAACATGTAAAATTGCTTCATGTAAAGTTGAAGTTTCTTTTGATTATGCAAAAAGTTCAAAGTTGCATATCCTATTTCTGTAATGATTTATAATGATTGAGCCATTTGCAGTGGTACAGTGGTAGGAGTGCTTGCTTAAAAATTAACAGCCTTTTCTCTTAATGATGATTGAATAAAATGATCACGTTTTCTTTCACAAGGCGTGGTGTCACAAAAAATGACTTTGACTTTGTTAATACTTTTCATGGTGCAAAGTTTTCACAAAATAGGCAGATAAAACTAACTGAATGTCAAGGAGGAAGGATTCAAATATTGCCTCTATTTCTGAGCAAACTCAATGCCATTTGATATAAATCTATGCCATAGTTATTACTTCTCCCCAATGGGTTGATCCTATTCAAAGTGGTTGACACTGTCTGCAGTGAGAATGGAACCATAATGTCAGGCACTTCTATTCCTTCCACATCATTGTCTAGTAAACTTCCAAACTCAAGAGAAGGCACAGGTCCATTCCAGTCTACTCCATAGGCATTGAACTCTTCCTGTAGTGAAAAATACAATCGTTCAAGGTAATGGGGTTTGAAATACCACATTGGCACATTCATCCAGCGATGACCCCCCCTCCCTCCCAATTTTTTTCACCAAATCTCTACTGTCTTTATTCATATCAATAAGTGGCTAGAAAAATGGAAGTACAGGTATAAAGGTAACTATGGTATTATTGGAACATCATAGATAGGAATTAATATAATTTCTGCATTAATGTTCCATATATAATTTTGAAGAACAATACAAGGTCAACAATAATGCAGCAGCTGCAGACTTACATTTGCTCTTGGCTCCCAGAACCCCCTCGCAGATCTGTGGTTGCTGTTTGACAAGTTGAACATCCCCTGTACCCAAATTTGCATTGGTGTCTTATTTCTTTCTGTTGACATTCCATGATTATTCCATCCCCTGGCAAACTCTGAAAGGTGATTTCTGATCCGTGGAATAAAGACATAGTGAAGACAAAACAAGTGGACCTCATCTTCAACATCAAGTACACCAATGTCCTCCATGAACCTGAATAGAGCATGGTACTTAAATAGGCATGCATGATACACATCCCTCCACAATCTTTCAATTCGCTGGTTGTGTACACTCTTACCAGTGATGTGACTGCCACGTCCCTCACCCCTCTCAGGGTGGGTCAACATGTACCTGGCAATATCAACATTTTCCACTCCCTGGTCTGTCCTCACTCGACTGGGTACACCAAAATTATCAACAGCTTTGAGAAATTCACTGAGAGCAGTTTCAGCTCGGTTATTGTTGTGACAAGCCAGGTAAACTACTGCACGAGAAAAGCCATCTATGCCACCATGTATTATTAGCCTCCATCTGAAAATTTTGAGTATGATTAAACATCAAAATCAACACATTATGGTGATAATAGTGTACTGATCAAATTGAAGCCTTACCATGGCATTTAACCCCTTTTCTTTCCCAGGAAATAGGAATGTTAACACTGCCCAGAAAGAGTGAATTTAAATGTGTTGCCTCAATTTCATGTGATGTGTCTTACTTGGTGCTGGCAAAGTGGAAGATTGTAAAGAGGAAAGGGAAGTGACTTTGCGATTCGTATGGTTTGACAGATCTCTTCCCTGTGCACTGCTGCTGACTAAGTTGTCACGGTTATCTATAAGTATCAAAAATGTTGGCGTGTTAAGTGGTATATTAGGGACAAGGATCTGCTTCATAGTGAAGGGTAGTTCAGGTGTGAATTATGTTACATTTGAAACTACACACACCAAAACTATTGTCTCATGATAAATATGAATTATTTTGTTTTCATAACTTAAATTTCGTGCTTCATGCAGGTGCTAATTAGCTCAACAATTATTGTTTTCTTATTCTCTCATCTTATTATTGTTTTCTATTGTTAAAGCTATCTAGCTTTAACTAGCTAAAGTTGTTTTGTCTCAATATTTTTTACCAACTTGTTTTTTTTTTTCACTAAAACAATTTTCCTCTGGCCCTCATTGCCTCTTTATCAATAACCCATTCGGGCTCGAGGAATAATTGTTAAACAGCCCATTCAGACTCAAGGAATAATTGTTAAATATAAGCCTTAAAGGTATGTGCTGCCCCAGAGTTTTTGAGCCAATTTTGGTTTGAAAACGGGTATGCACTATTCCTATTTTGGTCTGGAATCAGGAAGGGGTTCAAAGGGAACTAAAGGCATGTATGAATGTCTTTGTTGTTTCAATTCGAAATGACTAAGAAAGAAAGACTGCAAATTCGAATACGTGAATATGGATTGTAAGAAATCTTTGTGTTGTTGTTCTAAATTAAGTACTGAAGACATAATGTCGGCCGAAAAAAAGGCTATGGATTTCAGAGGCCATGTCTGAAAACGGGTGTAGAAACCGAAACTGACATTTTTTGGCTCTGAAATACATGTAGGGTTTGGATTTGGGGAACCGGGCGGCACACCCTTCACCAAGAATTCCAAGGAACATCCTCCAGGAGATTTCTTTAAAACTTGCCTTATCAACTTATGATTCGTATCGATATGCCACAGAGCATTCGGCCCATACACTTTGTACTCCCTTCGATGAACTATTTGAAGCTGCAAAGAGCGTAAAATAACACCTTCTAAATCGACTCGTCTCAGACATTCCATTATACGGCGTTCTGCTATGTGATACCCCCTGGCACGCAAAATTCCTCGTATCACCCTGTACCCACTTTGTTGAAAGTCTTCCTTAATTTGTCTTACAATCCTATCAAGTGCATCATCTGAAATGTTTGTAAGGTTCCTACTACTTAACCCAAATTCTTGGAGGCGTCTTCTGACTGTTGGTTCGCTGACGCCTAACATAGCAGATATCTCTGTTGCTGTAAAACCAAAATCGAGGAAATACTCCAGTTGTTCTTCGGTTATATTATAGCGTGGACGCCCTCGATCTCCACTAAATACCATTTCGCACTGAAAACCATCGCCATTTCCTTCGTTTCTCTGTATTTCATTCCTTATCAGATACTTGACCTCTGAAATACAGCAGAATACACGGTCGTCGATGTTCGCAAGCTGGGCATACTGAGACAAGATGGTTTCCAATCTATCTAGCTTATAATACAGATAATCTGCTTCATGGTACTGTAAATGTCTAGTATTTAACTTCTGTATGATCTCAAGTAGTCCGCATTGGATCCTCTCTTTCACAACACACGTCCAACTTGCCGCCATCTTGTGTGATCTATCAAGCTTGATTTCTAGTCCCAGACTCTTCTCGTTTTCAAGTGATCAGTCCATATGGAACGCCGATGGAACGACCCCATTGAATGAAGGACAAACAGTCAACAAAAAGGCAAATTTAATGACAAAATGTGATAATTAAATGATAATTGGATATAATAGCATGACAAGTAGACATAGTAATTTACAGATTAATTGAATGTTAAGCAGACATAATTAAATAACAAGCGACCAAAATCGAATGAAAAGAAGACATAATTGAATCTTGATGAGATATAGTAATTAAATGACAAGAAGACATAATTAAAAGACAAACGGACATAATTGAATGACAATAAGACATAATTGAATGACAAACGGACATAATTGAATGACAAGAAGACATAATTGAATCTGCACAGTGAATAGTATTTTTGATATGAAAACTGCTTCATAGTATTGCGTTCTTCGGCATTGGTTTGGCCCCAGCTTTCGGGCAAATCGTCGCTATGAGATTAAAGTTCAAATTTGTTAGCTTCAACACATTTAAAAAGGGACAACGCCCCACGTCTTGTTGACGTGCATCGCTGAAAAAGGCCTTTTAAAATAAAACTCGAGATATGTGTAACGCACGGGCAAAGCTCAGGTTTTAAAAAACCGGCCGAGAGAGAAGACAACGTGGAAAAGAAAGAAAACTAGGTTTGTCCAACAATCGAACGAGGCTCTAAAGTAGATATAAACTTTTTAACTTTATGGACTCGGTCTTTAAATAAGATTAAAGGAATGTCACGAAATTACTCCCCGCCTAGAGGGGAGGAGCGCGGCTAATTGGGTTCGTAAAGTACTGGATACCAGTTGGTTCAACATGGCGGCAAAATGGTCTTCGAGAGAATTGAGAAGGCAGAGAAACTGTTCGAAAGAAGCCAAAATTTACAAAAATCAAGGAAGGGACTGTCAAAATTAAAGAGGAAAATATTAGCTCAAGTTAAGTTTCTAAAATCGGTTCGTATTATCATCAATCAGCCTACGTACAATTGTAGCGTCATAGGCATGTTTGTTACGATTCTGTCGTTGAGAGCATCCTTGACTTCTTGACCCTTACATCTGAAGAACGTAACGTGGTCTTGGTAGTGCTAGAGTGTAGTGTTCTGAAACAATTCGCATGTTTTTGTTTTTCTTCAGCTAAACATTGATACAACGCCTTTGAAAGACTCGCACATGAAAAGCAAAAACCTTTTAGTATTTTTCGAAGCTGTGCTCGCAACAGCTGGACAAGAGAAAGATCTGCGTGCTGTTTTCAAGCCTTTTTGGGATATCACACGGGAGTTGAGCTATGAAGTGGATGTTGTTGCCGACAATGGACATTACTGGATTAAGGTTACTGCAAGAAATGCATCTGCACTCCATAGTACATGGCAAGGTAACAATCTGTACATTTTGTTTTAAATATAAAAGCCATCACAGGGTTTTCAGTAAGATTTTAAGTAGGTGGCAAAAGTTTTGGAGTAAGTGGAGAAGGAAAAAACTCGTGGCAAAGGAGCAACTTGCCAGTGCCCAAAATCGCTAGTCACTGGAAAAATTTTGAAATCTGGGCTTCTTAGAATGAATGCATTTTCAGCATTCTGGAGCAAAAATTAGAGTGTTTGAACAGAACACAGACACCATTAAATTTTAGCTTTTTTATTCAGTGACTCTATTTAACTGGGGTAATTTGCAAAGAGAAGTAGGCGGTAAGTTCACGTGAAATAGCTGACGATTTAGCCTGCCACTGGCTCTTATTGAAAACCCTGCATCGCACATGCCATTTACTTTACCGAGTGGCTATTCGCAAGCACTGACTCGAAATGGTAGGCTTCTATTTAGGGTTGGGGTTGTTGTTATGTAACTTCAAATCAAACTTACATCAGCAGTGAATCCTCAGTGGTCTACGGGGGGTACTCCCTATAATGGCCTACACGGGAGGCTCCAACCGAAAGGGGTACCTTTTTCAGGCTTTGGGTATATGAAAGGGTAGGGATTTTACCCGTTGAAGTATCTGTCAGTTGGGTCTGTGAAAGGGCCCAAAGGGCTAACAGATAAATTTTATGGCTTTTTCTAAAGTCGAGAAAACGTTCTATTTTTGTGATTGATTCCTATTTAAATAACAGTGCATTTACAACAGTTAAAAGGGATGCAAAGTTCTAAACAAGGTATGTGAAAGGGGTTCCATTTGTCAATAGAAGCCGGTATATGAAAGGGGCACCTTTTTGTGAAGAGTGGTATATAAAAGGGTAAGGGGTTGGACCACGGGGCGGAGCCTCCCCGTATAAAAAATTTATTGAGTACCCCCCACCCCCCCTATTGGTGGTCTATTGGTTTACATAGTACAGTGTAGACTGCAGACCCATACTCTGATTTGGAATCTCACTCTGGTTACTCTAAAATTTTTTTACATTTGAAATTGAACAGACTTTTCTTATGAACATTAATTTTGTTGAGCAGAAATTTCAATGGTGGTAGAATACAGTGTACATTTAACTAGTGAAGATGGAACAGCTGTATGAACTTATCTTATAAAATATAGTGATCACAAATTTACTTCTGTGGAAAGAATCCCATAAGATTTGGAAGTACAAGTTAGTGTATGGATTCCGTATAAATAACCACTGGGTTTACTTTACGTATCAACCTCAACATGTCTCCCTCTGGCAAACCCTGGGGACATCAATGGGTCATGCAGGGGTTTGACGACTTACTGTAGTTCTTACTGAGGTGGAGAATTTAACACAAAACAAATTGCATCATTTTTCACATCTCTAATACCATGATGAAAATCATAGGTTGCATTGGCATTAGTCACTGGTGATTGTTCCTGCCAAGAGAGATGGCTAGATGCATGAATCAGTGACCTCGTCTTTGATGTAAATTGAAAAAATTGATTTACATTGTATGCAGTAAGTTCACCAGAGGTGAAAATTGTACTCCAAGCTTCTAACACTTTTAAATTTTTTAAAGACAAAACTTGAGTACTATGCTGAGCCCTCGGATTATTATTGTCAATGTCATTGTAAGGTTAGCTACAGTGTATGTTAATTATGAGAAAATGTGCTGATTATGTGATAAATATACTTACAGGTCATGGTGACTTTGGTGATAAAGACATACATGTAGTCCATCAAGCCAATGTACTGTGTGTTGTGTGTGTACAGAAGAATTTATTGTTAAAACCAGAGGTATCCTCAAAAGGCAATGTTTTCCTATTGGTGTGAAAGCATGGTTGTTTTTAAAGAGTAGGAGCAGGGCTTGAAAAATGTCCCCTCCGGCCATCCAGAAGAGTGAAAAAACTAAATGTGAATGTAGCTAAAAATTAATGTGTAATTAATGCTTCTACTGTTTCAAAAGCATATTCAACCAGCAGTTATGGTACAGTGTAACTAGAAAAACCAAGTTTTAGTAAACTCAGCGTGCAAAGAAAGTCGTGTCCGATAGCCCAGGGCTAGTGAATTTTGCTATCGGGCCAGTGGTTTTTGTTTTTAACTTGCCCGATGGGCAAGTGCTGTTTTTTGGGAAATTCAAATTACAGAAGGATTGTAATCAATCCTGCTAATCAAAGGGGTTTGGGGGCTAGTTGAAATGACTTGTGGGCTTGTACATACTAGCAACAGCTTGCCCAAATGGCAGGCTGTAAAACTGGCTTTCTTTGCAGCCTTTCAACTTTTTTTATGATTAACATTAGTGGTAAAATAATTATAGAAAACGTTCTCTGATGTTGGCAAAGTCTGTGTTGGAACAACCAATGAAATCCTGGGCCTGGTTCCTGAAAGGCCGATTAGTGCTAATCCAGGATTGAAATTTTGTTCTGTTTTCGTATTATCCTTCCCATGTATTGCTTAGAGTAACATTTTGTCTTATCATTACCCTATCTTGAAGTGAAGGCTCAACAGTATTTTGTAAGCTTGAGTTGCATTTTCTTAGACAAGAAAACTTTGATTAAAATTTTGCTTAATCCTGGGTTAAACTTAACCATCTTTCAAGGAACCATGTCCTGGCCCTATAAACCTTTTGTGCACAGTTTATTGACTTACTTGTGTAATGGTTGTTACCTGCGTCACAGATGAAACTTAACTCTGGTTAAGTCCGTCTGTGAAACAGCACGGAAATCCTTGTTCTGGGCCCCAGCTGTGTACCTGGATTCAAAAACTGTTAAATGTTTCTTTCAATATTTGTACCCATTTTGCAATGCAAAGAGTTTTTTTAGCATACCAGACAATATTATGGTCTTACCTTTAATCCAAAGTGTCGCTAGTATGTCGGTAATGTGTAGGTTAACTGTCGATCGCTCGTCTGTCGGTTTAGGGTAGTTGTTCTTCACAATTACCCATTGTTTTGACCCGTCACAAATGAGCCATGACCATGCATGCTAAAATTTGTTTGGCCGGTCAACATGACCGGCAACAGTCCAAAACCTACTTTGTACCCTGCTGTTACTACCACTGTATCCTTGCTTATTAATTTTCCTACTTTATTGGACAGGAATAACAAGCAGTGAGTAAGCAACATCTATTGAACTATTCAGCACCACTTATCATGGTATCCTGTTTTAATGGAATCACAGAATCATTAGCAAGTGAGTAGAGATTTAAATACAGCTAGAAACGTAGTACAAAAGAGAATAATACAGTCAAACCTCTTTAATACGGATTCCAAGGGGACAGGACCAATTGTCCGCTTTACAGAGGTGTCCGTATTATAGAGGTAGGGAATGTATGACTTTTGGCATTTCTGGGATCAAACGAACTGTCCGTAATAGAGATGTGTCCGTAATAGAGAGGTGTCTGTAAGGAGAGGTTAGACTGTAATGTCATAGTGCCTTCTTTTTGGGCACATGCACAATGCTATATTCAAGGCTTTAGGCAGTCGTAAAAGTTTAACGTTGTTATGTAGGTGTAAAAAGTAAAATGCGAACAAGTCTGTTCCAGGTTTTGCTTCTCTATGCTGAAACAGAAGAAGGGAGAGACAGGGGCCAAAAAAATTAATATAATATTGATTTTTAGGCTAGTAAACATTGTGAATGAATAGAATGCGAGACTGGGGAGAGATGTGAGAGAGATGGCTTGCATGCTTTGTGCATGCTTTGTGCAAAGAAAACTATTTTTATTGAGAAAAACACAACTATTTTGCAGTCTATGTTTGTCATTAATGACTGTTAGACTGTTGGCCTGAAGGGAAACAGGGTCTGGAATGGGTGACTCTGCTCCTGTATTCCCACTCCATTTTCACATTTTCATCCTGCACTTTTTTTCTGGAATCCCATTTTTTGTTTCCCAAGTACATTAGTTGGAAGTCTAATTGCTGCAAAACTCTGTAAATGTATGATGTAGATATTTTGAATTATACCTCAGTATGATGGAATGGAAGGAAAAAAGTGGAAGAAATGAAGAGGAAGAGAGGAGAGTTTTTTCCCCCTCTCTCCCTACCCCCATCCCCTCGATATTCTTTCCTGCTTACTTTTCTTTGCACCTCCTCCAGTATGTGAACGCCTGAACAGACTATTCTCTGGGGCTACAAGACTCGTCTGATTTAAGGAAACAGAGCTGAAATCATTGTACAGCTGTTTCCCATAAGTTTAACTGATCAAATAATTTTGAGATTAACGATAGATGTAAAAGCTTGAGTAATTACTAGTATGCTAGGACCACAAGCTCATTCCTGGCATCCAGTTGTAAAAGTGGGGCTTTAGTCTGCTTGTCTGTTTGTAATTATTACTGGACAACCTGCAATCTTGGACAAAACTGTTGAGAAAATTGTATACTTGGACAGCATTTTTCTAAACATCGTAGCTGTACCGGTTCTTCCCTCTCCCCCTTCCCCTGAAAGCAATGTTGTTGTGTATTCAAAAGAAAGCCTGATCCCTGGGCGTTTGTGGGAAGCAACATTGAATTGGGGGAAGGGGTTTTCTTTCCGCAAAGGCGTCGTTTTGGAAATAGTTTTGTTGCGTAGGAAAGTGGACATGATGGGGAAAACTTTCTCAAGTAGTTTTGTCCGGGATTGTGGGTCAATTTTTATTTACACTGTATAGCTTGCTTTGGTAGGAGACACCACTGAACGCTCACCTGGTTGATTCACATTTGGTGCTAGAACCTAAGATTTCCCAACAGACATTCAGATAATCCCGCTTCCCATTCCCAGATTTTGGTGGATCACACTTCCCAGATAGCAGTCTTATCCCTTTTCCTGTCAGGATGTTTTGCATTTTTCCGAATCATGCACTGAACTTTGGTCAAATCCCAGATCCCAAAAATACCTTTTCAGACCCTGGGGAAACCATTACAGATCATGGGGGTGGGGTGTGGGTGGTGGTTGTATTAGAAGGTCTTTGGTTTAGTCCACTGGGTCTTTGTTCTGGTCCGTGGGTTTTCTTTTTAGTCCAAAGGGTCTCAGGTAAAAGGTCTTTGTTTCAGAGTCATCCATTGTAAATTACTTACTTTTCTACATGTTTCTTTTTTTTAAAGAGGCAATTTGGCAAACATAGATGTCTGTGTTAAAGGTCAAGTTTTGCCTGATCCTGGAAAAGAAGCTCCAGTCAGCCATGTTGATCAAAGACTCATAAATTACTTCAGTCCTCGTAACAAACAATGGTAAACTAGCTATGTGTAGTTTTTTAATCTTTATGTGTCACTTACATGTACATGACTTGTAAAGTTTATATTGTCTAAACATATTGGGCTTGTTATTAAAATAGAGTTTAGTCAGTGTTAAAAGGGCATTGTAAGCCATTTTAAATTTGTCCGAACCCTCACATCTAAACATTGTTTGCTGTTAACTAGGTCAAGGAGGCTTTCAGCCCAGACTAGAGAGCCATTTTTTTACTTAAAATATACATCTTACAAGCAGATTGGGAGGCCCCTGAATCTCTTAAACCACAGTTAGAAAAGCACATTTTGTTTGATTTCTTCCAATAAAGAAATTTTTATCATGATTTTTAATTCATGGCAGACCTTTTCCTGTCAGTATTTTCCCTAGAAGTTTGGGAAGGGAGAGGTGTATTATGACTTGTTGTACATGTAGTCATTCTGAAATCAGTAGAATTCTTCTACTGTGTAGCTCATCCAGGAATAAGGGTAAAACCATAACAGTTGAAAAAGGCAGGTCTCTGTCCACATACAACAAAAAACTTCAAGGGAAGACAAATTCACATTGCAGTAGGTTCATTCCATTTTAGGAAAATATTGATGTGTTGGAAAAGTTGGTGGGAAATCCATCAGCATGCAGTCAAGTGCCCTTGCATTTGCTAGCATAAGTGGTGGTGATTTAACATCTATGATTTACAGTAAATATTATATATCACTCACTTATTGGAATACAGTATATCAGTTGGGACTTTTTCAATGGTGAACAGGTGACTTTTTGCAAAAGCCAAAGATAGACTTGTTTGACATTGTTCTGTGAGACACTGAGTAACCGCAATAGTTTTCAAAATGAGTTTAACAATAGTAATTCTGTACAGTTTGGGTAGTCAACTGCAGTGAAGTAATGACCTCTAGAACAATTTAAACTTTGGGGAAAATAACTACAGTGATAATTACATTGTGTTATATAGTCACACAATAAGTTTAAGTTGTTTCCTTTATTAGTGACTGTGTCAATCTGGATATTACCACTATGATTGCTTAGGTTTCATCACAGACCAATGGTGGCTGCGGATTTGTATTTAAGGTACATGTACATGTATTAAAGATTCCTATGCTTATACAGTGACGTGGAACCTTGATATAACAACTTTTTATAACGAACAATTTTCTTTACCCCAGTCATAGTAAGATTATATGAAAAAGAACTTTGATTTGACAAAACCTTGATATAGCGAACACTTTTTGCCAGTCCCTTGGTCCTTTATTCCCGGCGTATCTAATGGAATGAACGATTGGGTTCGGTAATCAAACATAATCGAACTCAATATAACATTTGGTCAATCAAGCAAAATTAAATGTTTGATTACTGAGCGGTTGACGGTCGTAGTCATCCAACTTTTGATCACCTAACTTTTTTTTTTTTGCTCATTACGATCATTTCGATCTAAATAAAAAAATTGTTTTACTTGTTTACTTGATAGCGGAGCCCCCGCGCGCGAAGCGCGCGCGCAGCGGAGCACCATGGGTAAGAAAATTTGGTAAACTATCCATCCCAGAAAATATGGTTATGACGTAGCGTACGCCCGTCCGTACACACACTTCATTTAAGCCGATACATCATTTGCCCAAAGCCACCCTCCCCTGCTGGAAAAATACTTGATACAATATGCATAAAAAACAATTTCCTTGCACAATACTTACCTATTGTGGTCTGCACTCCAATATTGCTGGAGAATCATTGTTTATTAGTTACATGTAGTTGAGCCATTTTTTAAGTTGTTGCTGTGCCGTGGTCAATTTAGCGGGCCCCGGTTTACTGTAATTGCCGCACCGAATTCAATTAACCCATATAGGCCAGCATTATGTAACGGAAGGAACATAATGATTTTTATGTTGGGACCAAAGATAAGCTTATCAGTAGATAACAGCTAAGGAGCGGCATTGCGACAAGCAGTTCTCTGGGTGGCCTCTGCGGTCTATTACACGGTCTTTTATTTGTCACGTGGAGAGACATCAGCTATGTAAAGGATGCGACAAGTAAGTTCTTCCCCTTTTTCTGCGAACAAGCTCAGCGAGCACATCTCAGCGAAAGTGAAAGTCTATCGCGATCTCTGTATTTAATGACAGTAAGCGAAGGCCGTCGCATGCACACAAAATCGCTACGACGTATTATTAACCTGTTGAAAGGGCGTCCCAATATAAAAGTACTTTAATACAGAGGCAGTCGGTGTTCCGTATTTTCTTCATTAATCGTCTGGTATCGAATAAACCATGAAAATGACTTACAACATTCTCCTGTTAGCGGGGGCTCGTCTTTAGGGCACTGGGATCCTTTTTTTTTTCGTTTTTTGTGTTTTGAGTGCACAGCTCAGAAAAGACAATCAGTTCAATGACCACCCAACCTATCAATAACCACGCCAGTAGTTCAATGACCACATAAGCAGTTTAATTACCACTATGCTCAAGTAGTGCAAAAATTTAGCGGGCACTGAGTCTCATTTAACTCTAAGTACATTAAGGAAAACGATAACCAAAAACTTGCTTATATAAATTAAAAGATTCGTTCTGTTAAACATTTTCTTAGATTGCGGTATCCCCTCCTGTAACAAAAACAACGTTTTCCTAAAAGTAGTATACCCTAGGGGTAGAAATGCTGCCGTAGGCAAGGAACAATGATGGAAATTATGGTTAGTACTTGGTGTGAAACTATGAAACCACTGACACCACGAAACCTAGGAAACAATGTAACCATTGACACCACGAAACACATGAAACTATGAAACCATTGACACCAGGAAACCTATAAAACCATGACTCCATGATACTTTCATTATATGACATAGACATTAGCATATACTAATTAGCATAAATTCGTGCACCGTAACACCAAGTTGTAACCGAAATTATCTTCCTTTTGGGTACGTTTAAGGTGACTCCAGCTTAATTATGAGCAAATTTTAGTATTTTTCTAACGTGCTCGCGTCGCGTCAGAAGTGGCCGGATAATTCTCGATTTTGGATTAGTATAAGTTCAATCATTCTCGCTTTCAACTGAATAACTGACAGTTATTTTGATTCGGCGATACGAGCAAATTTACTAACTAAAAACACAACATTAACTTGGCCTACTAAGCATGTCACGAATCAAACCCCAATTTAAACAATTCTGGAGGGCAGTTATGTTCAAGTGCTGATAAATCTAATGCTCCTTGCGTGATTCCCTCTTAGGCACAGAAGGAAATTTGTTTGGAAAATAATAAAGGCTGTGGCTATATGGCCGGTAAGAGGGCAAGATTTTCAAAACACTGACTAAATGACCGGCAAGTCCGACATTTTTTCTAATAATTTTGGCAAATCGAATGATCCCAGCTAGACCAAACTATCATACGTCGATTTTGAATGGGCTGAGAAACTTAGTTTCTAATCAACAAATGTTGTCAAAGTCAGTAAGTCTCTTCAATTTTAAAAGAAAAAAAAAATCAGTCGAATATGAGCGGATTTGATCCTGGAACATAGGGTCTGCATACCACCACATTCTAACCACCGTGGTTTCGCTGCAAAATGGTGATTTTATTCAAATATAATGGCAAAAACCCAACCCAAAATAGAAGCTAACCGTTAACCCTAATCACTAATAGTTCTCATGGCTTAACCCTAATTAGTATTTTCAGTGCTTAACCCTGATCACTTTAGTCAAAATATCGGAGAGCTGGTCATTTAGTGTTTTTTAAATCTTGACCGGTTACCAGGCATATAGTCACAGCGAATAATAAAACCGATTTATTCATAAAATATTGCATTTTGTGAAAATATGTTTAAAAGATATAAAACAGCTGCTTGTTCCAGGAGTTCTTTGTCCATATGCTACGCTATTTTGCTGGTCTTGAGCGTGTTCTCTTTTCCGAAAACCAACCCAAATATACAGAGGTTTCGAACTTTGCTTTCATTCTGCCTAGGCATCAACTATAATGAATTCTATGAATGAAGATTATCGCAGTTATATACGCAACTTTTGCAATTGCGAAAAGAAAGCCTGAAAAACATTCAGGCTTGTACTGGATTCGAACCCTTGACATCTGCGATACCGGTACAGCGCTTTACGAATTAAGCAAACAAGCCAACTGGGAGCAGGCCGTTGAATTGGTTCGTTATAAACGAGTGAAACGATGACGATGAACTTATGAATATAAAAATCATGTATGTGAACTGCGGAGTGAAGAATTATATGAATGAAGATCATCGCAGTTATATACGCAACTTTTGCAATCATCCTTTTTACGGGTTTATTGGCTTCCTAGTTCTTGAATTGTTCAAGCTTATTAATTTTTTTTACCCACTTTTGTGTTCGACGGGAATTTCGCACAAGTCACTGCAAAGGGCGCTCGTTACTCTCATGGTCAGCCAGCCTAAACGTACCTACGTCTTATCTGTATAAGTTGCCAGTATTTGGCTTAGTTGCGATTGGTCAATTTGCGGTCCATAACTTGCTATACGGACCAAAATTTCAAAACCAAATGCTCTTTTCGCAGCTCCTAAACTCTTTATTTGAAAAGAAAAGAGGTTTAAAGAAAGTTAAAGACGTCTGTAAAACTTGAGGACTTGGATGTTGACTAAGTCCTTCAACATTTTAACCTTGTCAACGTTGTCAATGTAGAAACTGATTCGTAATCGTATCGAAGAAGAGGATTCCAATGAGTTACTTGCGGGTTTTATCGCAGTACACAGTTAGACAAAATTTAAAAAAAAATTAAAAGACAAAATTAAAATCGACTGGCAGAGATTCAAGATGTTTTTCCTACTAAAAAGAATACGAGCGATTCCCTCACACAAACATGTTAACAAGCACACATGCACCTGATCATCTTTACAAGCTTCTTTGCTATTTGAAAGACCAACAAAAGAAAAATGGAAGCGGCCTCGAGCCAGACAGAATGTCCAGTCTTCAAAAGACTCCAGTGTCACATTGGAGAGCGAATACTTACTTGACTGACTAAATTATTTCACCATAGCGCACTTTGATTTTACTTTCAATAAAAAAGACTTGTTAATGGCTATTATTTAGTGAGCCAATTAAACGATCCTTTTCTGACACCTGTCAAATGACTGTCAAATG